AAATCGTAGGTAAAGCTAAAAGTAACTACCTGTACTTTTTGGCCAGACCGAAATCAATAATGAAAAGCTTGTTGCAATGTTTTCCAATGCCCATCAAGAAATTGTCCGGTTTTATATCCCTGTGGAGAAAGTGACGGCTGTGGACAAATTCAATTCGCCAAAGCATCTGATCCACTAACATCAAAACAGTTTTCATTGTAAAGCATCTGCCACAGAAATTAAATAGGTCCTCCAGGCTTGGACCGAGCAGATCCATAACAAGAGCGTTATAAGCATTATTAACACCGTCCAGTCCGTAGTAATGGATGTGCGGTAACCCAGGAGTTTCCTAAGAAAGATATAAATCATAAATAGGAAACTACCGTTAAGACACGGTAGACCTTTGCCTCAAAGAATAATTGTGGGTGTTTGGCTGTAACTTTCTCAAGTTTAACTGCTACTTCCTCGCCGTTCTGTATGTTAAGACCAAGAAAAATCTCGCCAAATGAACCACTTCCAATTTTTCGGACGAGTTTCCATTTGCCATCAATAATGAAGTCAGAATTGCTTCTTTGGACTAGATCACAGCCAGGTGCCTAACATAACAGCTTCAGAGAAAGCGTAACCACAAACCTTGTCAGAGGCCGGCATCTCGAAGCAAAATAACTAAAATGCGCGCGATCACAAAACACGCATTTAAACAACATAAACCAGCATATACGAAATTTATGAAAAATTGGAATGTATTTTTATAAAACATAAGAACGTAGCGTTTTTGCCTTAGAACATTGCCGAACATTTTGCGAAAATGTAAATTTTTGCATGTTCTCGCGTGTAAGATGCCGGTGAGGAGGGGTCATGTTGCGCCGCGGAACACATATATAGATGCTCTCATAAAAAAATTTGACAATAAATGTACTTATTAATTTTGTTTGTAACGTTCCAGATGCAGCTTTTATCATAGCCAATTCAAATATTTTCTGCAGTCCTATAATATTCTGCAGCGCCGACTTCTGCAGCCTTTTTTCATATTCGAAAGCACAGTTGTTACTAAAGCCAGCGAGTTTGACTTTCCTGTATGGCGATAAGACATCGTCAGAATCGATCAGAAAGCTGTCAAGAGGATTATTTTGCGACAAAGAAACAAAA